GTAAGAGAGAGAGAGAGAGAGAGAGAGAGAGAGAGAGGGAGGGAGGCCTGACCTGTGAGGAAATGTAGAGTACTTTGTCATAGGCACAGTGACAATATTCCTCCTGGCATTGGTGGCAGACTTCTCAACAGCAGAAATGACCTCCTTGGCCTTCCCAACACCCACCCCAACACGCCCCTGCTTATCCCCAACAACCACAATTGCTCTAAATGAAAGCTGCTTCCCCCCCTTCACAACCTTAGTCACCCTCCTCACCTGAACCACTCTCTCTTCAAACCCATCTCTCACTTTCTCTTTCTTCTTCTTCCCAAACCCCACACTCTTCTTCACCTTAGCATCCATCACATAAATGTCATTGCCCAAAACACTCTCCCCACTGTAAGCAGGCCCATATATCTCTTCATAAGCACCTGCAATTTCCTCTTCAGTTTCAGGGGGGAGTTCATAGAAAGGAGGTGGTTTTACCCAGCCTTCAGGTGGGGATGGTTGCTCAAAGGCTATTTCCTGTTCGGGGTCTAGTTCGTCAAAGAAGGAGGTGTCCAGGTTTGAGTCTTTGGCTCTGATTTTTGAGCTTGAGGGGTTGTGGTGGAGAGTTGCACAGAGAGAAAATGGGGTTTTAAGGTTGATGAGAGAGGAGGAGGAGGTTAGTTTTGTGAGTTGGTTGGATGCGCGGAAGGACAGATGTGCGGGCAGGAGGGAGGAAATGGATGACACAGTGGACATGGTGTGTGTGTGTTAGAGAGAGAGAGAGAAGTGCTCTCTCCCTCGCCGGTCTCTTAAAACTTTAAAAATGGGGCTTATCCCAATCCAGTTCCAGCCATGAGTCTGAGGAGACGGGCAATAGGGAGTGGGGCAGTGAGGAAATGCAGTAGGATACACGTGATGTGCATGCTACACCATACACACTCGGAATTAGCCATTGATTTGGATTAGTGTTTTACGAAAGAAAAAGGACATAAGGTTTGAAACTTTATGCTATAGAAGTAAAGAACACCTCAAAAATTAACAGAAAAGAGCTTCTGGAAGTTGGAAAACCTTGATGGTCTCGGCCTTGAGATAGAACATAAAGAGAAAATAACTTCAAGTCTCAAAAATGTGCATTTTGTAAGATGTTATTTAGACGGTTTATTTTCAAGACTTTCAAGTGTTTATAAATGTACTCTATCTACATTAATTTTTAAATTTTAAATTTGTGCTTGAACTACGGATTTTCAAGCTATCGTAAGGTTTTTAGCACCAAAATTATATCTTATAGCAAAATTTAGAGGTGCATCTTACAAAATGGTGATCGAAATAAATAAAAAAAGTAAATTGGGATTAGTATGGGGCTCCCTAGATCGACCATCCAAGTATATGGCTTCATAGAATGACGTACTATTAATTTTTTATTTCATTTATATGGCTTCATGACTTAATATTAATTTTTTATTTCATGTTTTTTTCCAACTTTTCAACAATCTGAATAAGGATTAGACAAGTGAATCCCAACATGGTGGAAACATAAAGTATAAGGATCGGGTATAGGTGGGATGCCTTTTTCTGAGTCCGACTATCCTCTTATTGTTGATGTTGATCTCTCTCCATCGCTCCTTTTAATGCATGCAGCTCCTTCAAGTTGAAATTTCGTCTACATCCTTAGGCCGACTTTTAATTAGTTCGATTAAAAATGCAATTTACACGATGCAAATCTCGACCAAGAGTTCTTAAATTGTCGATGGGGAGAAAGCAGGAGAGGTGAGAGAGAGGCCGAGAAAGACTCATGAAGAGTTCTAGCCGCCATCCTTAGGGCTTGGAGTAGAGGCTCAAGCAAACCATACTAACGAGGAGGTCTAGCAACGTGCCTTGAGGACATGGGATTGACGCTCAAGCAAGCCCAACTCACAAGGATGTCTAGTCACTATCTTTAGTGTAAGTGGTTGAGACTCGAGTAACCTAGACTCACAAGGATGTCTAATTGCCGGCTAGTAGGTGTGAGAATTTTTTGTATTTTTTGTATTAAACCTATGGAAAAAATCTCATATATGTATACAAAGGTACAAAGGTGATTATATTATACAACCTGTGTGATATACAGAAAAGAAAAGAATACATTCTACATGATTATAGAAAGATCATCCTATCTAGTAACAAGAAGAAAGTGCATATATATAATTTCACACTCCCCTGCGAACTCGTGACGGTTAGAAGCAAACCATTGAGAGTTTCAAAGCAAGGTTTGAAAAATAAGGAGAATTATGGGACTTCGTAAGAAGTCAGCCAGCTGTGCGGAAGATGAGATGTATGGAAAAGATATTGTCCCGGCTAAATATCCTATGGAACAAAATACCAATCTACTTCAATAAGCTTGGTTCGCTTATGGAAATCCTGGTTCTTTACAATATAAATCGCACTTTTCTGATATGAGGTTGCGACTTTAAAAAACTCAATATCCAAGTCAGCTAATAACCAGCGAAGCCAGACAATCTCGGATGTTGTTTGGGCCATTGCTCGATACTTAGCTTTAGTTGTTGACTGAGCAATATGTTTTTCCTTTTTGCTCTTCCAAGAAAGAAGTGAGTCACCAAGAGAAATAGAAAAACTCGTAATAAACTTTGATCAATAGTATCCCTTACAAAATTAGAGTCAGTATAGGCACGTAGCCCAAGAGTGGAAGACGAAGTAAACAGCAGAGCACAATTAAGAGCATCTCAGATATAATAAATGATATGTACAACTGGCAAGTGAATAGAGCGATGGGCACTTAAGAATTGATTGACAAGATGAACAGTATAAGCAATGTTTGACCGAGAGATAGTCAAATAAAAACTTCCAATAAGCTGCCTGTAAAATGTAGGATCTGAAAGAGGTTCACCTTCTATAGAGTGAAGTTTGACATTCATCTCAATAGGTATGGCAACATGCTTTGTTTCATCCGCTAGACAAGCTCGAGAAGCAATATATATGTGTCACACCCCAAGATTTATAACACTGGAATCCCTGAGATGTAACAGTTTAGCTTTAACAAAACGAAATTTTTCTACTTCACCATTTATTGCACTAAAACAGATTTTTCCATTTCTAAGAGTCTGTTCAAAGTCTATTCATAAACTAGTATTAATATGAAGGTTTAGATATACATCAGTTGATATGACAAAATTTACAATAGTGAATTTGAACAAAAGTCACAAAGCGAAAATTTCATCATAACTATGACTTCTTCCAAAGTTGGTCCTATTGTGCCTTCAACTAAGGAGGCTGCAATTACCCTAAAATTTTTTTACCATAGTTTGATGAGTTTGGCTACTCAGTAAGTGATCATCATAGTCCTAAAAAATAATCATAATCGAAAGATGTAAGCATTTTCAAAAAGGGAGGTCTATTAGAAACAATGCGAGCCAAAAAGCATTTATGGATAACAATTTCACTTTCAGAAATGCACAATTAAGCATAATCCAAATGATTGAAATCATGTAAATATTTTAACAACAATGCATAACTCAAAGGATTTCACAAAATACCCTACTGGCGTCTCAAGTAGGTCACCTATATACCCCACCAGCATTCTGGATGGGTCCAAACAATCCCTGCAGGTTCAAACATATATCACCGCCGTCCCGGATGAGTCCAAATTGTCCATACCAGCGTAACCAGATAGGTCCAAACAATCTCTGCAGGTCCAAATATACCTCACCGGCATCCCGATGAGTCCAAATAGTCCCCAGCGACATAACCGGATAGGTCCAAATAATCCTTGCAGGTCTAAACGTACATCATCGGCGTACCGGATGAGTCCAAATAGTCCCTATCGGTGTCCCGGATAGGTCCACACATACTTAAATTATCTTAGAAGCTCTTTAACATCAGAAAGCATCAACATCGTATATTCAAAGTATCATTGAAATCATTAACAAGAATTCACTTGAAGCAATTTAAACAATTACTTTCATTGAAATATTTGTAAGTAACCAATCAAGCAATTTGGATAAAAATTGCAGAAAGTTAGCAGATCGAATAGGTATATTTGAAATGGAATCCAATAGGCAGTCGATTATCAATTTAAGAGCTTCTATAGAAATCCAAGGTTAAACACATAAATATCACAATTTTATGGAATGTAATTTCATAATTAATTATTTTATAGGAATAGGTAAAACTTATAGTATCTAAAATTCATAGACAAACAAAAATACAATTAAATGCAGAAATGCATAAATCTCACAGTATTGGCAGTATAATAATTAATTGCAGAAATATCAATTTTTCACATAATGATTTTACCATAAATGACATCACTTACACATAAATTTTACAGTGTCTAAAAGTCATACTAATAGGCAGAAATTTTATTTTTAATAATTTACAATGTCAAAATTTATAATAAATAAAAATAATAATTTTAACAGAAAAAAAATGATACCATATGCGCATAAAATTACCGCGTAAAAATAATGAACAGATTATTTTTCAGGATAATGAGATCATTTACCCATAATATTTGAGAGGGAACTTTCGATAAAATTGGGCTAGAGAGAAGGAGTTCACTGCGTTCTTTAATTCACAAAGAGGGCTCAACGTTATTGAGAGGGAGGGGCATAAGAGGGAGTGTTTTTGCAAAGAGAGAATCCAACTCGTTCTCCTCTTTTAAACACAAAAAGAATATTATTATAATATATTATTAACCCACCTCATACATGAGGTGTTTAGAAGGTGTTACATTAACACTTAAAGCCCACGTTCCTAGAGGATCGTGGCACAAGGAACAAAAGGTGAAGGTAAAAAGAGCAAAAAAGTATGATGGTCCTTAAGGACCAAATTATTTGTATGGACCATCAAATGTAAAAGGTTTTTTTTTTTTTTTTTTAAGTTTAGGATTGTTACAATATGGCTTACTCGAGTTGTGAGAGCAAATACCTATGAGGAGAATAAGAAATTTCTAGGCCAAAAAAATATTCTAAGAATCCCAAATCTTTCATTGCAAAAAGTGGATTAAGTTTATGTTTGATTAAATGTATAATAGCCTCATCACCTGAAATGATCATATCATTAAATAAAGTAGGTGAATTGCACAACCTATGAGGTGACTGAGACAAACATGGTCGGGACATGATGGCTCTGTCAAAAACCCGTGGTGACAAGGTGTGCTTTATAGCGCTCGATACTGCCATTAGCTTTTTGTTCACCTATTGGCAGCCAATGGCTATTTTATCTTTGGGAAAAGGGACAAGATCCCAAGCATACATTTTATCAAGAGTAGCCAATTCTTATACCATGGAATATTGCCACTTAGGTTGTTTGACAACTTCCTCATAAGTTTACGGCTCATAGTAAGAATGAACATAGGCAAGAAATGCTTGATGCTTAGGTAAACAAGTTTCATAATCAATAAAACGTGCAAGTAAAACAGGGAAACAAGCACTATGGTGGACAACAGGTATCTATAGCAAGTGCCTGAAGTGGTTCATCAGTAGCAGTTGAGTGCTCTACAATTGCACCGTCCATAGGAAGCATGGGTGAGGTTGCAGACATAAGAGAAATATCATCAAAGAAATGGACAAGAAAAGAAGTAGAAAAAGAGTTAGCTAGTGGAGGGAAATGAAAACAAATATGCTCAAAAAATACTACACGTTGGAACATCATAAGTTTCCTAATCATATGGTCATGATATCTATAATCCCTTTGGTGGTCAGGACTGTCAGGATTTAATAGCCCTCTTAGATGCAGAAACAAGAATCCCAAAAGTTGGATTCCACAAGGATCGTGTACTTATCCAGCTAGAAATAATAGATGAGAATATGAGTTATAATACGAGAAATAAAGCATGAAACACACACACACACACACACAAACAC